CCAACATGTCGCGATTTAGTTTCAACCGGTTGCTCTTTCATTGCCTTAAATGTAATGTCGCGCGGCCCAATAATTAAGCAGGTATTACTTTGGAGAGTGCAGGAGGCGTCTGCCCCTAGCACCCTGCTCTTCCAAAATATGTAGATATATATTATGACATGCATTTTTCCTTGTTAACAGTTAACACAAAATCTACCAGTGATGCGCACAATTTGTCCATCCTTTTAATTGGGGTACGGTTCATGCAACAAACAAGAATTTTATGACCAACGAGAATCTATTATAACTTAATTTGTTTAATTTAATTGATAAAATAATTAATGATTATAAAATTTAATTATTTTTTATCTTAAAATAATTATTGTCTTTTAATTTTAAATTTATTTTAAATTAATCATTATTTTTTATTTTTTAAAATATACAAATATTATTTTACTCTAATTATGTTATTATCTATTAACTTTAATTAATTATCACAACCACTCTTTTTTTGTTTTGTATTTTTTTTAAAGGTATTATTATTTCTTTTTTGTATTTAATTAAATAACTCTCTTCTATTCTCAAATTCCTTTTCACTTGCTTAAATACTGAAATTTAACATCTTCAATTTGAAGTTTCAAGCTCTTAACTTGAATCTCTTAACTATCGAATCACTTCATTGGGATTTTTTTAAAGTATTATAGATAAATATAAATATTATTTTTAAAATTTTTATTTAAGAAAAAAATAAAAAAATGACAATTATTTTAAAATAAAAAAAATAACTTATAAAGCAATTGATATTTTTTAGTTAATAAATTAAAATCAGTTAATCAATTATACTTTTTAGATATTATTTAAGAAAAATAAACAAAATTTTGATAATATTAACATTTTTTAGGGGGCAACATCGACTTTGACTTTAGGGGGTACTCTTTTACAGAGACTTGTAGCAAATAGGACTTCAAGACCAGGTGCGCTCAATTTGGCTTGTAAATTCTTCAGGGATAGAAAATTTTATGATACTGTTTAGATAGGCCACTATTTTCACTGAGCTCACTGGTTACTGCGGAATGTTGAGAATCCTATGAAACAAAGCATTTACTTATGAAAAACTTTCGGTCGCTTTTTTCTATTCGGATGTTGGTTGGCCGCCAGCCACCTACCCTGGCGGAGCCGGAGGAGGTCCCATTCAGGTATAAGAAAAGGGCGATGATTTTTATATAATATTATTATTTTATTTTTTTATATAACTTTACGTATCATTAAAATTAAAATGATTAGTTCTTTTAATTTATATGAGACCCATGATATTAAATACATTTATTCATTTAATGATATTAAAAAATAATATAAAAAAATTATCTATATATCACCATTCATGAGAAAAAGAGAAGAGTATGTATATATATATACACACATGATGATGGATTTATTAATATATAAATATTATTTATTATATTTATATAAAATTTTAATCATTTAAAATTTTTATTATTAATAAATGAAATTTATTTACATTTATTAAAAAAATTATTTTTCATTTAAAAAATCATGACAAAGTCTCAACCGTTAAAAATAAAAATAAATAGTTAGAATTTTATGTATATATCATGTATAAAATTTATGTGTAAATGAATCATTTCTATATATATAAAAGATATATTTATTTTTATACAAATCTTATATATTATATTTATACAAAATTTTAATAATTTATATCTCCATCCTTAATTGTTGAGATTTATTATGATTTTTTAAATAAAAAATAATTATTTTTAATAAATATAAATAAATCTCAATTATTAAAAATAAAAAATTAAATAATTTAA